ACCATTGAAAGCTAGGCTAAAACTACCATAACTACTGGGTAGATGAACATATTTACGGGTCTACAAGAGTGTTTGTGTGTATGAATGTGTGCCTGCTTGAACTTTCAAACTCATTCCCATACATACATATATCAAATATCTATATTTTATTCAATGTAAAATACATACTATTGAATAATATATTAACTGTACCTATTTTCAATTATTGGTTTGGAAGGATAAATTATACATACATACATAGACACTGCTGAAACATGCATGTAAGGACTAAACTAAAAATACTACTAGATAAGTGGAGCAAGCAATTAGAAAAGTAAATTTGAAAACAAATGTACTTGAAGCCACTTAATCAATGTATTGATTATAGTGTGGCAGATAAGCAATTTATATTTTGAAACGGATGAAAAATTTATTTATCGGAGATGGTTCTTTGTACAACAAAATATTACTATTTAAAACAAGTGATTTCTTCAAAAACGAGAAAAAATGTATGTCATACTCGAACCAATCCCTCGGTTGCGATATCGATTTGATATATTGTCGATATCGGACCACTATAGCATATACATTTATAGCTATCATACCAAATGAACAATCGGAATTTAATGCTTGTATTGAAACATTGTCTACTTGACGCGTTATCCTCACCAAATTTGGCTTGAGTCATTGTCCAAGGCATTGGTCCAATCTCCAAAGAAATTAATCAGATCGAGTCACTACAGCATAAAACTGTCATATAAACTGACCGATCAAAATAAAGTTCTTATAAAAAATCYTTTGTATTTGTGAAGAAATTGTGAACGTTGTAGCGTGGGTGCAACCGAGGTTAACATTTTTTCTCGTTTTTATTTTTTTTCATACTATACTTTCATACAACTTTCAATTTCATACATTCATTTCTTACTAACTACATTTTCATACTATTTTATTGTTGAAATTTTGATATCGGCATAAATACCCTGGTAATATTCTTAATACTTAAAATGGAACGCTTCTAAAAAAAGGGTTAAAAATATTTTCATTTAACAATACATTCCTAATGTTTGTGTGTGAGCTCATCAATGCTTCTGCGAGGATATATACATATGTAAGTGTATACGTATTTGCATATGTGTTAACATAAATCCCTATCAGTCAACACTGGATCATCTTTTATAACTGTCGCATAACAAACTCCAAACAACAATAAAAATAAAAACAAATTATTAATATCAGTTGGCAAAGAGATTCGTCTACAGACGCCAAAAAGTTTGCGGACGTGTTGTCATGACCATTACTCAAGTTTAGGTTGCTCTGATTTGCTAAATAAATCCAATATAATACTGGTGTATATCTATGTCAATTCACAAGTAGGCATAAAGTATATACATAAGTATAGGCGCGAAAATTTCTATGTAGATGGAAGGGTAATTTGTTATTTTTCACCAAAAATAGGCTCTGGGAACAACAATAGAAAACAAATAAAAATTAAACACAAATTGAGTCATATAAAAATAAATTTCATTTCAAACATCACTGAAAAAATACATTTATTTGCGTACATAGATATTTACCAGTTTTATTTATATCGTACTGAATTTAAATTCTAACTTTACTTCAAATAACTCAACACTTGTTAATGTTATTTTATGTAAAGTAACTTTGTATGTTTGCACGCATTTTTTAAGCGCTTTCAGCAGTGTTGATGTGATTCAAATATATGTATGTATACATATACAATGCTTAGCAAACCATAAAAATTGTTGACAGTCCCAAATTCATGTTTTTCCTCGAGCGGATAAGACATTACCCCAACTTACAGCTCATATAATCAATAAAATTCTGAACCCACCATTTTTTACTTCACAACTTTGAGGCAAAAATGTTATGTCTCTCCTTTTTATTTACATATATACATATGTGTATATTTTTTAACTTGGTATGAGTAAGTACAAATATGCGAATCCATTACACACATATACGACTACTTTCACTTTTGCTGACTTGCTTGGGACTACGGGTAAAAGCATTAAGGGGCGAAGCCAATTGAAAGTATGGGATCTTATATCTGCGAATGGTTAACTGTCGATAATGGTTTATAAATTGAAAATACTTTTATAGCATTTTGGCAGAGCAAGTTTGAGGTCAATGAATTCAAAATCTGTACGCCCTTCCCATGTGTACACATGCATTTACAAGCACCTACTAGTTAAGGAGGTGCATTGGAAGAGGCATTCGTTTCGAAAACATTTTGACGCTAAAGTCAATTTTAAGGTGTCAGAAGTTGTTGCAAGCAAAGTGCTTTCAGAAAGTTAATCATTACTGAAATTACTTTGCTACTTCGAATATTGTTGGAAGTGCTTTCTGTACTTTGTAGAAAAATTGTTTTCGTATATGTAATACTATAAGTTAGCAACGTGCACTGGAATAGGCATTCGTTTCGAAGAAACTTGGACACCAAAGGTAAATTTTAGGGTGTCAGAAGCTATGCAAGTCAAGTGCTTTCAGAAAGGTTTGTAATTACTTTGCTACTGCGAAAATTGTTGCAAGTACTCTAAAGAAAAATAATTTTGTAGTACCATGTAAATCAATACTTTATATCAGTTGTTGCAAGTAAAGCGCTTTCAGAAACCGACCAACACTTACTAGTACTTTCAGTAGTTAAGTTTACAAAGTGTCAATATTTGCTGAATGTAAAATATTTCGAAAAAGTCACAAGTTAAATATTCGAACAGTTGTTAAAATATCTTAAGTAAAGCGTTTTCAGCAAGGCATCATTTATAATCAAAAGTGCATAATAAGGTATATTCTACATTTGTATTTAGTATAGTTTTGTCAATAAATCACATACATACATACATAAAACACTTTTATTTTTATTGAAGTACTAATTTTAGTTCTAGTTTTAATCTTAATTTTTGAACTTGCTTTGCATAAGAAATTTTTGTAAAATTAATTTATATTATATTATTATTACTAGCAGTATACTTTCAGAAAGCGCTTTACTTGGCGCACCTTTTTACGACTTTAACTGCAAGTGCAGCTTGCCCAAGTATCATAAACAAATAGCACCTAAAAGAGTGTGTGAATAATTATTTTGTCATTTATTTATTTCACAAAATTTTCACACTTCTTTTTGTGGCATCTAAGAATATATGTTTAAAATACTTTCTATTTATGCCAGATTCTTACACAAAAATCATAACAAATTTCCAAATTATGTAGACAGTGTCGAAAAAATATTAAAAATAACGCTAAATCTGCTTGCCTATCGGGGCTGATATCCTCCAACTGTCTAAATATTACATTAGTCGGAAAGAAGGCATTTCTACCTAATACTTCTGCAACAAAATACAACTTTATATTCAATTTAGCACGAATATACATACATTCATTACGTAGTGTACTACTTTTTAGATTTGACAGACATCAACTGTCGTTGAGGGTTTGGCTAATTTATGTTGTAAGGTTGCAGAGGAAAGAGAAATGAAGAAAATTACAGTGCATACTGTGTTGAGCGCATTCTTGTTGAGGGACATCAATGGTAGCGTATGCACTGTTATGTGAGTGAAAATTCAATTACACTCAATTCAAGCGTTGCCAGGGCGGTCATTTTTTACATATTTGTCTGAATTGAACTAGAGAGTGCGCATTGAACTAGAGAGTGCCAAGCTAACAAACGAGCGGCTGGTCAGTTGTCTCCGAGCAGCTGGACAGTGAATGGGACAAGCCGATTCAGCGTTCGTTAGAGCAGAATGTGCGACAGAGACGTTTGATATGATCAAGCAGACTTACCCAGATGTCGCTTTAGCAAGAAGAGGTGGTGGCACCAGGCCTTTATGGAGAGCCGAAAAGAGGTCGCTGATAAATGAGCAAATCCAAAGTAAAAATGATGCTCATTGTTTTTTTTTTTTTTTTGACATCAAAGGCATACTACACCATGAACGTGTTCCTCCTGAACAAACCGTCAATGCCAAGTTCTACGTAGAAGTCCTCAAGAGATTCCAATGAAGAGACTCCAATGAAGTGAATGAATTGGCATCGCCCTACGGAGAAAGTCTTCGGTGATGCCTTCAATGCTTGGAAATCGCGCTGACACCACTGTATCGACGCAGAAGGAGAATATTTTGAAAGTATTTAAGGAATTGTAACTATTGGTTCAATAAATTTTTTTAAATCGACTCAGTCTTATCCCTTTCCGGACAAACCCTGTACAATGTTTATGCCAAATCAAGCAATAATATTGAACAAGAAAAATTATGCAACAGATCTGGTAACCTACTAAATACTCAAATGCAATTGCATAAAGTGTACAGCCATACCAGACACATAAGAACAAACCCGAATACCAAACATGCAAGGACGAAAGTTGRGCGCTAACGTCTAGTCCAACGCTCATAATTGCACTCAAACGAGTTGAGTGAGCACCGAGAGAGCGCGCGCAGCAAGGTAACAGGGACCTACATTCACAACTAAGCGCCAAGCAACAAACATCAACAAATGTCTGACAGCCAGAGAGCGTGGAGAGCCGCACAAAGCCGAAGTCTTGACAGCAGCAACAACGTCGAGCAAACAGAGTATGCAAAGAATAGTGGTAAATGGGAAGTAGTAGCGCTAAAAGAGTAACCAAGGCATGGTACTGCTGTTGTTGGCAGTGTGGTTGTGTGGGCTGTGGATGGCTCGTAAAGTTTCGTATAGGCAACAACGAAGTGGATCGCTAAAAGCGAAAAGTGTGCCATACATATTATCAAGTACACGCACATGCACACATTCCGATGTATACCGATGTTTGTGCGAATATATCCTGGTAAACCATGTATGTACTTAAATGTATGTGTATTTGGACAACGAAATGTGCTGGCACACAAAGTTTGACAACAGTATGGCTTTGAACACGAAACCGTTAACAACGACAGTGCGCCTAAAGAATTAAAAAAGACAAAAAAACCAAAGAAACACAACGACACCCATATGAAAACAGGAAACACACACACACACACATTCAAATATCAAGCAGGCGAATGAACTAACTCGCGTTTAACAATAGTAAACAAAACAAAATCACAGAGTTCGAGTGAAGGAAATACTACCTTTTCGCACATATGCAAAGTGGCAAGCATAACACAAAATAGTAACATTTACCGTTGCTGTGTGGGTGCCTGTATGTGTACATGTGGCTGAAGGCAACGCGTACGACGAGTACATTGTGCTGAACTCAACGCTACTTCAGTTCTGTGCTGTGCAGTTCACGGTAATACGGGATAAACCAGTTGATTTTGAATTTGAATTGAGATGCGTGCGTTTTGTGGGTGTTGGATTTAAGCGCTTACATAGCCAATTAAGCTTGGATGCTGTGTGGCTTAAGAAGTAATCAGCAGCGCACAATGTCGCATTTAAAGTTGCTGTGTTACTTACTTAGCGTAAATTTTGCATTAAAATAGTGGGATCAAAGCTGTAGATGAAAAAAAAAAAAATACAAACAAACTGAAAAGTAATTTGGAACGCAAGAAAAAGTGTATTTGTGCCGAAAAGGTCGCTGGGCGAGAATAATAAATATTTATTTGTGCTTATTTTAGGCGCTCTGGCCTGTGTGTTTCAACCTCAGAATATGCTTTTGGCATATTAATTGGTATTAAGTGATATTTTGTTTTTTGTTTTTTTTTTTGTTTTTTTCGTGCACTTAATTACGGTATAACCACATTTGGCAGCGCTTTTTTCACTCGACTGTGACCCATTGCCCGAGAAAAAGTGTTTATTACGCATACACAAGTAACTGTGTGTATATTTGTGTGTGTGTTKGTTTGTGTAYGTGTGTGGTATATATGCTAGTTGTTATTAAATATTTTCAAAGTTATGCGACAATGGTCCCATGACCCTTTTTAGTTTAATGCCTCGTTTTCGTTTTTCTAAAATACCCATTCTTATATATGTACATACATAACTGTGTTTATGTACGCACATATGTATGTATGTACGTACTTTTATTTATAATTCACTAAGGCATCACAATTGTAGTCCTGTAATTCGGAACATTTGTGCCATTACATTTTATTGGCTGTACGCTGAACACATATGTATGAGTGTGTGTGTTTGCTGCTGTTGTCATTCATTCATTGAGTTTGTCTGGAGACAAAACTTGCGACGCCGTCATCATTGTCGTAAAGAGAATAGAAAGAAATTAAAGCATAATGGAAAAAAGGCTCAAAAAAAAAAAAAAAAGAAACACACACACATACAAACACACTTGCAAAAGCCAAAGGTATAAATTGAATGTTATAAATTTAGTCAGAAAGTTAGTAACAGCAGCGACAGTATCTAGTGAGTTCCTCCAAAGCTTTCACATATCGGTGCGCAGTGGCACGCAGCGCGCATTCAAACGTAATGGTTGTCCGTACGCACTCTTTGTGTCAGATAAATATCCCAGTCATATATTGTCGCCTTGTTGTCTGCTACTGAACTTTTTATGGCTCCATCGGCTATCGTAAACGTTGCTGTTGTTATTGTTGTTGAACTCCCTGTATTGTTTTGTGTGTGTGTTTGTGGCTGCTGTCTCTTATACACATCTAGATGTGTATAAGAGACAGGTCATATATTGTCGCCTTGTTGTCTGCTACTGAACTTTTTATGGCTCCATCGGCTATCGTAAACGTTGCTGTTGTTATTGTTGTTGAACTCCCTGTATTGTTTTGTGTGTGTGTTTGTGGCTGTTCTTGTATGTTTGTTAGCCTTTTGATAATGTGGCAAGGTTGAGCTTGTCAAGCTGCTACTTAACGGTAACAATTACAACTGCGCTATTTGGGCATCGTAAATATTTGTTGTAAGTCTTGTGCATACAAAAACACATACAAACACCCACACAAATACGTAATATATAGCGTTGTATTTGGCAATGTTGGTAGATTTGTGGCAAAAATAGCACTTAAGTAAGCGGATAATTTCGACACTGATTGCGGATTGCGTTTGATTGCAGTAATTGATTCTAATGTCGTGTATATAATAAAATTCATACTCGTAATTACATATATATACCTGTTTGTATGTACACATAAAGCTCTGTAGTGAAACGCTCACAAATGCATACACATACATATACATACATCACAAACAGTTGCAGCTGCAGTTGCATTAGTGCCTAGATGTGTTTCATATACATGTGTATGGTATAATTTCATAAACACACCTCCACAAACACCTACACGGCCAGCGGCGCCTGCAACCTTGCAAACTGTGAAATTTTCGAGTTGCAACCTTCAAAACAAAACCGAAATTGGTTTTCAAGCCCTTTGCCTGTTACAATTTTTTATGCGCATAGCCGCCTACACACATACATACATATATAWAGTATGCATCTATTTATATGTCATTTGTTGGTGGAATTGCAAAATTAGGCGATGCCATTATACTTGGTTATACCGTATGTTGCACTGCAATAAATACGGTTACATACATACATGTGAACATAGATATGTTATATGACTGTTGTACATATGTACTCATCTGGACGGTGGCCTTAACGCGAATATCTGCACAAGGTCCCCAGGCAGAAAGTATAGCAGTGGACCTTGAGTTGTTTAACAGGCGGGAAAGGTTGTGCAATCTGCTCCGCTAGGCGGTAAATGCATTTCAATAACAACAATAATAATCCATTTCTCAGTTATCATTTCTTGAGCGCTCTCATTATTTAAATAAATAAATAGTAGTTTGTAAAATAAGATAAAAAATTGATATAAGGAAATTTAAAATGTTTTCAAACAAATAAAAAATAAATATCTATATAAATATTTTTAAAAATTTAATGAAGTTTTTAAGCTGCAAGTATTATTATCAAATTGTTCTATATTGAAGAATAGATTTTAAGTAAATTTATTTAAATCCAATTTATTATAGGAATTGTAATTTAAGCTGCTATAAAATTCTGTCTCTGTTTCAAAAAAATAAATAAACAAGAAAAAACGTGTTCTTCAGTTGCACCGAAAATATTATATAAAACTCTTTACAAAAAAAGCAATGCCTACAAACTAACAAATAATAACTATTTAAAAACCTTAAACAGAATTCAATAAGAAGGAAATAGTAATAGTTCGATAATTGAAGTGAGATACGAGGCAATTGATTGGATAAACAATTAAAAAAACACAAGTAAGAAAGGGCTAAGTTCGAGTGAAACTGAATATTATATATCCCAGAAGAATCATGCAATTACAGTTGAAATTCCCTAACTCAAATCCCCTTAATCGACAAAAAACTGTGAGTTAGAGAGACTTCGGCTTATGGAAGGAAATTTGACTTCTATTGTCAATTAAAGAGTTCGATTTATAGACGTTCGATATTTWTATACATATACATATATAACTCATGCTCTGACCTACATATTCGGCATAACGTTTATTAGAAACGCGAAAATCATTATACGTAGAATATTTGGGTTGGGGTAGAATTGCCCCGATTTTATCTATTTTTGCCGACACTAAATACTATTAATATGTTACATACTAATAAAATGTTCCCAGATATTCATTAAGCTACCTTACATTCCATACTCATACTGGAGTCAGTTGTTATAAATTTTGTTGTATGGGACCTAGGTCAAGTTTCTCCCAATTTTATCCATCTGAGGCACAATAATACTCTGTTAACAGTAAAGCTCGCGATCTCATTTTCATTGGAGTAACTCACATGTTGGCAGATATATGCGGTATAAAGGCACCTGGAAGTTCGAAAGTCGTTATATTAGGTATGACGGAAGTATTGACCCCTTTATAAGTGTGGAAATATTTTCTCCGTTATAATAATTGCTTCTTGATTTGTACACTGGAAAGGAAAGAATCAGATGGAATTGAAAATTGTTCTAAGGGACCGATTTCACCCATTTTCGCATATTACGTACCGAATATATTAAGTCTAATAAATATAATTTTAAGATTCCACAAAGTACCATTTTTTAAAACTTCTTGGTTTGGTAATAAAATTATTTAATTATATTTATTTCAAATAGGTGGCAACTCCTTTTAATAAATATTTTCTAAATCTTACTGAAACCACTTAATTTGGGTGCCAAAATTTTATTTTTCTTTATAAATTATTTTCCTTAAGTTTTTAACTCCTAGTCCTATTATAGCATGTGAAAGTTTAGAATTCTAACGTATTTAATGAGTTATCTCATTTTTAGTAGTTTTTTTATAATCGTTATTTAGGGTGTGGGTACGGTTATCATCCAATTTTATTAATTTTCATAGTCCCAGARGATGTGCCAAAGAGATGTACCCTGAGCGAAATATGTTAATTTTTCTTTAGTCATTTGACACTGTTTAGTAATCTATACTGAAACTTATTACCTCGAACATACTCGAGATTAAGTTGAAACAAAAGTATGTACCACTCTGGATTTTTTTCATATATATCCTATGTCACAACAGCAAAACCGCTATAGTGGAAAACTCTGTAAGATAAGTGTTCAGATTTCTGCTGATGGAAATTTATTTCATTTAAGAATATACATATAGTATATATTTATATCATATTCAAATGTCACTGAGTTGGAAATCATTATTTTTCTAATATAGTTATATTTTCACTTTCCTCCCGCAGATCAGCTCAACTATGGTAGCATCGGCCGATCCACAAAATATTCTGAAGAAACTACAAAAGTACAAACATTTAAATGGTACGAATTTGTTGAAACCTCTCCGCAATAGAACACCAATCTCCACATCGAAATATGACAGCAGCAATCAGAAAGCAACAATCGGCGCGAGTCTACAACTCGTACGAGAGAACAATGATATCGAGCCCACTGCAATACCGAATGCGACCGACTTAGCCGAGCAGCGCGTTAATATCACAAATAATTTTTTAGATTTACTACTAAATCCCGAATATGTTGAGCAATTCACCGAAATGAATAACGATCTATTGCACGTCTCAAATGAGACGGCGACCAATGACGTGAAAATGTCGGTATCGCCACTCAATGCAAACATCATCATGTCACCTGCCGCGCTCACAACTCTTTACACAAAAAACGAAACAGTCTTACAACAAAATGCACCGCCCAGTAATCTGGTAATGGATACATTGTTGGGTTCGGTTATGACGACCGCCACCGCCACGGTGACCGGTTCGCCGAATGCGATTAGAACTGAAGACCTGCTACTCGATCGTTTGCCAGCAGATGTGCAGAGTGGTGCAACTTTAACGAGCTTTTATGCCAATCTTTTGGCAGATATATCACCATCCTCCACTTTCACCGCCGCCGTCGAAACAATGTCGACGCCAACWGTATTGCTGCCGACTGCTGATAATGATACGGTCTATTGGGAGCATGGCGCGACTGACTTCGATGTGCTCTACCGCCACTCGCTGACAATGACAATTGTTTATTGCTTTGCTTATATTATTGTCTTTCTGGTTGGCTTGGTTGGCAATAGCTTTGTGATTGCCGTTGTATTACGGGCGCCACGAATGCGTACGGTCACCAATTATTTTATTGTCAACTTGGCGATTGCTGATATATTGGTAATTGTGTTTTGCTTGCCCGCCACGTTGATGAGCAACATTTTTGTGCGTGAGTATATTTCATATTTTTCTCATCTCATTATAAATTCAATTACTTTTTCCTATGATAAAAGCTAGTTGTCGGAAAATGTTTCATATAGTCGTAAATAAAAAAATTTGATTATGACTTGGAGTTACACAATTATTAAAGTAGTATAACAACCAAAGAAGCAATTAAATTATTTATTCTCGGAAAAYATAACTTTTTCCGCGGCTTCACTTGCTTAGAATTGCTTAAACTAGTATCAAAATTCATTAAAAAAAAAACAAATTATTTATTATGTAATACTATACCGCGACTAACATCTTCGTGGTGATGGTAAATTAGGAAAACTCAATATTGCCTGATTTACTCTTTCGATGCTTTTTAAACATAATATATATCACTTGATCAAATTTGACACGGACTAGTTTAGTACAATCCTCATATGTCAATCAGAGCGCATTTTGGCAGCCGTTTGTTTACAATACGAAAAGTTTGTATGGCCTTAGGATACAAAATTTAACAGTGAGTTTGCTTGAAATGTTTTCAATTGAATTGCATCTACGGAAAGATTGCAACTGTTGAAGAAAGCATGCAGTAAAAGTCGTGAAGTTACCTCATGCCTCACCATGATGGGACGTGATTTTTTATTTGACGTGGAAACTATCCAACTATATAGGGAATGGTGCTCCAAAATTGTGCCAACATAGGCTATCCCATCCAAGACTTATAACAATGTATAGAAAATTTAATAACATATAATCGTTAGCGTGCTTGTATTAGCTCCGGACGCTAGTGAAAATGTAGTTTTCTATTATCAGTTTGTGTGAAATATGATTATATGGTATACACGGTCTCTAACAAAAAGTTAATCATACGCCATGTTGAGCAAATTACTTTGTCAGGAGGACTACTTTACGAAAAAAAAAAGATTTATAACTTTATGTAAGTGAGTCAAAAAAAAAAAGTTCAGAAAACGTGCGTTGCGAGCGTCGGTACCTTATGGTACATTACATTGAAAATCAATTGTTATCTTAAAGAAACTAATATACTGATATTCACACTTGTGTCAATGACTTTAAGGCTCTCCACTACAACCGTAAAGAACTTTTCCTTAACAATAGTTGTTTAGCCTTAAACGGTTTCAAGCAACAAAATTAAATTTTCGCAAGTAATGCTAGAGGTTGTAGCGCCTACATACAAATAAAAGCAAGTTTATTTGTCTCTTCATAAAAAATAACAGAGTGAAATTTGCTGTTTCACAATATAAAAAAAAAATGATTGATTCGCTTTATTTCGGTAAATGCATAAAAAGTTAACTACTTAAACATTAATGAGCTTTAATGACTCTTGCAGTTTATTTTCGACAACGTTATTTAATGGAAGCTTTTTTCTGATGTGTAAAAATAGACATTAGCCAAATATATATAGCAGACAAAAAAAAAAAAAAAATTTAAGGTTAGATAATCGCCACGTAACACTTAATGCCAGTGATTTGCTTTATAATTGGAATTGCGGCAAGAAAAGTACCGCATTAAAGTACATGTACATACACATAAATGATAAGTATACATATGTGTACGTACTTATGTATATGTATACATATTTTCAGCAGTATTTACAAACACTTGATATCAATCCCATGTCCTTCAACAATAATGACAGGCAAAGTTATAAATAAGACTTACATAGCATTGCTTCTGTTCTAAAAGAAATAATACAAAGTTGGTTGGCAAATACATACCCACACACATCTACAAATATCCGCTCATACATATGTATATTCTAAGTATTACGTAGTCTTAATAAGATCATCGTCATGCAAACACTTGAATTGCACACATCTGTGCATAGTTAAGCATTAAAATTAAGTACTTATGTCTTTGCATATTTTTCAATTTTACGTTTCATTACACATTTTCGGGGTACTTCAAAGCCGCATTATTTATATTTTGCTGCTTTCGTCATGCGAATTCCATTTTGAAACCAAAAATTTTTGTAATCTTTAACCACACATGCACACAGGCGTATAATCACACAATRCCAAAGTTATTGCTTTTATGTATAAGTTTGGTATACTTCGGCATAACCCGTTAGGAGATGCTCTTGTATAGAACTAGTTCATTTACAGAGGATTAGGAACCAAAATAAGACTATAGAAATTTCTATAGACTGAAAAAAAAAATATTAAGTTTGCCAAGAAGTTTGTAAGTCCTAGCAGGAAACGACGGAAGTATTATAAAGTATAAAAGGTAAGCGTAACGGGAGAGTCAATTTAGTCCATATATGAAAATTTTTATTTGACAAGATATCTTAAGGAAATTTGACATATTTCATTGTGCAAAACAATGCTCAAAACTTCAAACATATTATTCAGGTTGGAACGCTATAGCATATACATAGGTGTCATTAAAGATAAAGATCTCATTTCCTTATTAAATAAATTTAAGTCATTTTGAAGGTTGTTTTTATCAAAACTTTTGGTCGTTTACAACTTCCTAATAAATAAATTAAAATTATTGTACTTCTCTTAGTTGTATCCAGCTCTGGGAATTTTTTGATAAAAAAATTTTGTCTAAATTTGAAAATTTTATTAAAAATACTTTGTTTAAAAATAAAATTTTCAATTTTGATCACAATTTTAATCATGAAATTCCAAAGTTGGAATCAAAAATTGATAATCTAATTTTTAATYCCAAAATTTGAAATATCCCAAAATCGGAGTGATTAAAAAAAAGATTTGAACTAAAACCACGAAGTTTGTAACACCCAGAAGGAAGGGCCGGAGACTCTATAAAGTATATATATAAATGATCAGTATGTCGAGCTGAGTCGATTTTGCCATGTCCGTCTGTCTGTATATATACGAACWAGTCCCTCAGCTTTTAAGATATCGTTTTGAAATTTTGCAAACGTCATTTTCTTTTCAAGAAGCTGCTCATTCCATATCCGACCACTATAACATATAACTGCCATACAAACTGAACGATCGGAATCAAGTTCTTGTATGGAGAATTTGCAYATTTCACACAAAATTTCCACAAAAGTTGGCACAGGTTATTTTCTAAAGCAAAAATGTAATCTCCGAAGAAATTGTTCAAATCGGTTAGCTATAGCATATGTGTAGCYGCCATACAAACTGAACGACCGAAATCAAGTTCTTGTATGGAAAACTTTCACATTTGACAAGATACATATATTCATGAAATTTGGTATAGATTATTTTCTGAGCCAACAACGTAATCTCCGAAGAAATTGTTTAGATCGGTTAACTTAGCATATAGCTGCCATACAAACTGAACAATCGGAATCAAGCTCTTGTATGGAAAACTRTCACATTTGACAAGATATATTCACGAAATTTCGTATAGATTATTTTTTGACGCAACAATGTAATTTCCGAAGAAATTGTTCAGATTGGATTACTATAGCATATAGCTGCCATACAAACTGAATGATCGAAATCAAATGCTTGCATGGGAAACTTCCTCATTTGAAGATATATCTTCACGAAATTTGATATGAGGTATTTTTTTATAGAAATAATGTAATATCAGAAGAAATTATTCAGATCGGCCCACTATAGCATAGAGCTGCCATACAAACCGAACGATAGGAATCAAAGGCCTGTATGGAAAACTTTGGCATTTTGGTATCTTCACGAAATTTGGCATGGATTACTRCTTAAGGTAACAATATAATCTCCATAAAAATTGTTCAGAACGGATTACTCTAGCATATAGCTTCCATACAAACTGAACACATAGTTACTCACAGAAATGCACCTCTGAATGGTATTTAGCTTCTGTGCAACCGAAGTKAACGTTTTTTCTTGTTTTAATGTATGATTATAATTGCTCGGAGATTCTCTACCGGGTGGCAGTGTGTGTATATGAGTATACTTCCATATGTACATTTATATCTAAGTATTGACATACATACATATACATATGTGTATCCACTCTAAGTGAATGAGCAGTCGCCACAAATGGCGGGTTAGTCAATGCTGGCGTGGCATTTGCCTAGACCGACTTCAAAATTAAGATGCTAATACACACTCTCAGATACATCCATACATTAGTACAAAGAATATTTTGTGTCACTGATAGAATGTGCGCTGAATTGGAGTTTTGCATGTACTGATTTCGTAATTTTATCTTTGCYTATACAGTTTGTTGGTTATTGAATTTCAAAGGCTCAGCGCTAATAGTGCCTATAGTAATCTTGCAGCGTTTCAATAGTGATTATAATGGCAAATATATACAATTTTTATGTGTATGTGGCGCCTACATACATGTAAATATGTTTGTGTACAGAGCACATAACGCTTAAGTTTTCTCATATCATAAATGCCAGCGTACCTTGGTTTTGTCTAATATGCCGCACACACACACACTTTTGGTAAATGTAGACAGTATTGGTCTGCATGTTTGTATAGTTTAGTGTTTGTTGTGGTAAGCTAAAGCTTGCGAAAACAAAAACAAAACAGCAAGAGCCGAGCGCCATTCAAAGGATCATCGACACAGTACTGACCTAATTTCACATGTTCCACCATGTACCACACACATACATATGTACGTATGTATATGAGGCGAAAGTTTATTTGTTCTACATTACGCTTTATTTGCTTTGAAAAAGTTGTCGGGGTCTGTACTCACTCAAAAACACACGCGTATCTACATACATACGTATCGTAGCACATTGTTTACCCACTCATTCATGTACCGTTTCACAACGCCTAGCAGGAGCAAACATTTGTGGCAATCTGTGGGTCTGAGTCTAATTTTTGTGGGTCAATTGGGTGAGCAGAATATATTCAACACTTTACCGAGTTCAAGTGTCGGCGCTATGTACATTCATGCCACGTACATACATATGTTTCTTGTATGTATTTGAGGAATGGTGGGTATTTAGACGCCTGCAGCGAAAGAAGGTGTGGTGAGTAGTACAGAGGCAACTCAGTACCATTGCTGGACAGTGTTGGGTCGATAGTTTTCAGGTGATGATAAATGAGATTCCATTTATGT